TTCCCCAGATGTTCCAGGTGGGAGGGGCCCTTCTGGTTCATGTCCCCATAGCACCAGTGCTGAGAGGTGGACAGCACATCTGTCCACACTCACGGACCCACACCCACAAGCATCTGGTACCTGTCTGGGTCCTGCCCGCCTGGCCAGCCTGCCTTTTTTAGAGGCCAGAGGATTGGAAACTGGCCTGACCTCCCTGAGTTCCCAGAGGAGATGCCCCAGGGCAGATCCCCCCAAGGCTTGTCTGCCCAGGAGTGGGGTGGCTAGAGTTGGGGACTCCCTGAGGCTGAGCTGGCAGGCTCCAGAGCCTGGGGCTACTGGGAGAGGGAGGCAGATTGGGCAGTGGTGGGTACTCCGGAGCATCGTAGGGAACGCCCAGGTAGCCACCACTCATCCCAGGTGGGGTAGCTGGCACGTCTGGGGCTCCAGTTCCCTGGCTACTGCTGCCTGGGTACAGCACTGCCGCCTGTGCCGCTGACTCAGGAGCGTGGCACATGCGCAGGAGATTGTGGTCCACCAGCCCCACCTCTGGGCCTGCCCAGGTGTTTTTACTGCCTCTGCTGAGGATGGACGCCTGGATCCTCCTCAGTGCTCCTGCCCTGGCCTCCAGACCGCTGACCTGTGCTGGAAGGGCCTGGCGGTACCTGGGTACCTGCAGCCTCTAGGGCCTTAGGTAACCAGCCCCATGGAGGAGCTCACACCGTGGTGAGGAGACATGGATGTCCATGGAAGCCCTACAGCAGGCCAGGGAGAGACGGTACTGAGGCCGTGGCAGGTACTGCTGGCCTTCACCCCTTCCTGGGTCGGGCGGTGCCTGCCAGGCTGTGGGGGCAAGGCTGTGCTGCCATTGGTGGGCTTCAGTTAGTGTAAGGGAGGCTGGGAGTGCAGCGTGTCTCATCTGGGTTGCCAGGTTTATCAACTCAAATACAGGAATGAGGACGTCACTTCTGGTGTATGTATTTCCCATGTTCATACAAAATTCAGACTTAACCCGGTGTCCTGTTTTATGGGCAGCCATTAGCCCCGGTACAAACTGACCTCTCACTAAGAGACGGGGATGACTAAGAGGGTGTTGCAGGGTGCTCTCTGGGGAGATGCCCTGTGTGACAAACAGCTGGGGCACAGGGCCAGGGGGCTTGTGGGCATGTTCCTGTCCTGCCAGCAGGGGGCTCTGGTGGCAGGGAGCTGGAGCAGGAGGTGGTCAGTGGTTAGGAGGAAGGAGGGGGTGCAGGGGCCCAGAGCCACTTGGAGCCTTGCGGGGCTCTGAGCAAGTAGATGAGGTATGTTTGAACAGGGTGCTTCTGGCTGCTGTAGAGAGTGACCTCTGCAAGGACAGACTGGTCCTGTGAGGGGCTGGGGCTGGGCAGGTGGCCACAGGCAGGATCAGAAGCTGTTGGGTCTCAGATGTATTTGAAAATAGAGCCAATGGGATTTGGAGTGGGGAGGGAGGAGGCAAGGGCAACCCTTGAGCTCTGGGGGCAACCCTTGAGTTCTGGAGGCCACCAGACTGGTACAGGTACAGAGAGGGAAGGTTGGAGTAGATAGGCTGGCGGAGATCTGGGTGGCCGAGTGTGGACAGAGGAGAGAAGTGGAGAGGCCTGGGAGATGAGATGACTCCTGGAGCAGAGGAAGAGGCCTGAGGTGCATCCCAGACGGAGGCAAGGGCTCTGGGCAGAAGGGAGGGCTGGGGTGTTACCTGCTGCTGAGGGGGAAGCTCCAAGGCCACACCACAAGATCTGGCAACGCTGGTCACTGGTGACCTTGACCAAAGACAGGCTCAGTCAAAGGTGCCGAAGGCCTGACCTCAGCCTCTTGAAAGGAGCACAGGTGGAGGGAGCCCACTTGACGTGTGGTCAGGGACAGTGGTGTGGTCTGTCCTGGGGTCTCTGACTCTTTGCCCCTGCCCATCTTATCTTGGCTCTGAGGCCGTAATAGGCTGCAGATGATCTGGGAAGGTGAATTCTCCACAGGTGTGGGCATGGCTGCAGTCTTGGATGAGAGGGTTCTTATGGAAGCACAGGGCAGGGGAGTGGACAGCGGCAGGGCCCTGCCAGAGCCAATGAGTCTGGGTTTCTGCCTCTGTTTTCTCTTCTATGAAATGGGGACAGGCACCAGCTTCCCCCACTGCCTTGGAGGAGGAAACTGGGGCTCAGCCAGGATGGGGCCTGCTCCTTCGAAAACACTGGCCTGCTCCTTCGAAAACACTCGCCTGCTCTTAGCTGGTTCTGGTGCATTACAGTGCCCTATGGGGGTGGCTTCACATGGTTACAGGGGACTTGGGGAAGGGGCTGGGGGTGCAGTCAGGCCAGCTGGAGGGAGGGACCTTTTGCAGATGACAAAACTAGAGACCCACCAAGGGCACCAGGCCTCATCTCTGTCCTTGGACCTCTACATGGACAGCAGAACAGGGTAGCCTCAGACTAAGGGTGCAGGGGTGAAGGGTGGAGACTGGACCACTTTGTTCTGAGGTCACCTAAGGTCTCAGGGCCCCTTCATACCCAAGTCTGGAGCCTCAGCTGGGCCCTGTCCAGCAGCTCCTGGAGAGGGCTTTGTCTCTCCCTTTTCTTGGCCCCCACCAGAAGCTGTTCCCCCAATGCCCATCTTCACTTCCTCCAGTCCTCTGATGCTTCCAGGAGCAGCAGTCCCCCACTTTCCACAGTGCTGACCCCTTGCAGGCTGACCCACTCTTCCTGCAGTCTACCTGGCCAACCCCAGGACACTCAGAGGGGCCCAGTGGCTGGCCTGGGGCCTTGGTAGGTGCTCAGGAACCCTAAAGGGGTAGATGAGTGAGACGGTAGAGATTTCCGGTGACTCCTTTGCCCTGTTCTGGAAAGGTCACAGCCGGGCCCAGACAAGAGTCCTCGGGTTTTGGAAACGTGCAGGGGTTACCTTCCCAGCTTGGTGTTGTCCTCCCCACACCAGGGTCCTTGCACGGGTGGCCCCGGCCAGTGAGCGGATTAACCTCTCCCACTCCCACGTTCCACCCACGGTGGGGCCCCACGAGGACCTCGGCTAGAGGCCCCAACTCCACAGCGCAACGCAGGCTGAGGATCCTTGGGCCTAAAGTCCCAGGCCTATCCTCAACCCGCGGGAGTGGGGAACTCTGCTTGGGATGGCCCTTAGGGGTGACATAGGGGAGGGTGCAGAGCAGCACAGGGCTGGATTCAGGGAGCGCTGAGCATTGGGCCTGCGACTACCCGTTCCCCCACTAGAACACCAGGTCTCCGAGCCCAGCCTGCTGCGTCTGCAGGTCCTGCTCCCGGGTCCACGAGAACGCGGCCTAGAGCGGAGAGCCCCCGCAGCACCTGCACCGGTGCCACGGGGCGCATGCGCGGGCCGCGGAGGGCGGGGGCCAGGCCGGGAGGGGTCCCGAAGGCTCTGCACCCCCGCGTCCGCTGCGGGAATCGGGTGTCTGAGTTGGGTTCTGCCTGCGCCGGGCTCGGCGGGGCTGCAGGTGGCGTGGGCATCTCGCAAGCTGGGGTTGCGCCCCCACTCCCCCCGCCCGTGACGCCCTGGCCGCAGGTTCCGGGGCGCCGGGCCCGTAGATCTCCCCGAGATCTCGGCCGGTCACCGCATTCAGACAAAGGGATGGAGATGCTTCCGTGACTGCGCCCAGCGGCCG